ACACACACACACACACGCACACACACACACACACACGCACAATATCAACAATGGTGATATAAAAAAACCCTCACTTCCAAAAGGTTGGGAAGTGGGTGACACTTACGCCGGCTTACAGCAACAACGTCTTTATATTCGGCCCCAACTTCCCAACCATAACGTCACAGGTGTATGTAATGTGGTACGGTGATATCAGAGAGTGTGTGTGTGTGTGTGTGTGTGTGTGTGTGTGTGTGTGTGTGTGAGAGAGAGAGAGAGAGAGAGAGAGAGAGAGAGAGAGAGAGAGACGGAGAGAGAATACGTATGTCGAAGACTTATGTGTCGGTGTTAGGGTTTGGCGAAGCAATATGAACAATACACACACAGGGAACCCCAAACTTCAACACGGTTGAGAATTGGGTGTCAGATATGGCCGGATGCAATAACAACGTGTTAATAGATGGTCTCCGCATCCACACACACACATACACACACACACACATACGCATGTACGAACATTCGGCTGGTCATCGATAAAGGAGGGAGTGTGTGTGTATGAGCGCTTATATATATAAAGAAAATAAAAATAAATTAAGGTAAAAAAATAATAATAATAATGAGAGTTGGGAGGTATAAATAAGAAAATATAATTTGTGTTTTTATAATTTTTAGTGAATGAGTAGAATAATGAGTTGCCCATTGAGTAGTTGAGTCTGTATGGTTTGAGATGGGGGTGCTGAGGGAATATCCGTAGTAAGGGGATTTTTTTTTTTTTTTTTTTTATATATATATATGAAAAAAAAAGGGGGGTAGGAGCCTTGTTGTTTTTTTTTTTTTAAAAGGGGGGGAGGGTAAAGACTCTGTGCACGGATACGACATCAGGGGCCCTGGCAAAATTGATATGTGGGTGTGTCTGAGGTCTTAAAAGGAAACCTATGGGTAGTGAATTCAGGCGCAAGACTATGGGCGACGTGTGGAAGGAACCTGTATGAGATACTGCGAAGGACCAACTATAATAGTGAAGTGGTTCTCAGCCTTAGGCCTCCGTGAATGAGGCCGCACGATAGATCACTGGAGTAAGTTGACGCTTCAGGCGATAGCGTACTTCGGAGACCTACAGTGGTCACAACGCGATGTCAGATCTTTCGTCGTCTTCGCCGTCTTCCTTGGCTTCGTTCGTAGAGCACCGCATTCGCGTCCCGATATTACCAGGAGATGAGAGAATAGTGATTAAGGTGAGGGCTGGTGTGACAACCTCGTGTTCCTTGTCGAGTGCCACGCTATCGTGTGAAGCTGCCATTGCGCTCGTGCTGGTCGTGGCTCCGAAGAAGGTTGTGGTTAGGTGTACTCCAGAAGGGGTTCTGACGTGGAATCCTCGTGGTACTAAGTGAGCCAATGGAGGAGATCTTGTCGTTCGACCAGATGCTGGAAGAGCATCTGAGGGAGGAGAACGGTTTCGAGGAATCACAAGGAGAGGCTCCCCTGGAGGTGATGGTTTTGTTTCGAGCCATCGGAGCCCTGCACCCCGTATGAGTGTTATCGTGATGTTGTTGCTGTTGTTGTTTTCATAAAACATGTATATCAGTCTTTTAGACTAATGACAGACGATGTATAGTTGTTGTTCATCCACGGGTGTATGATCTGCTTGCAGGTATCCTGGTTCGAAAGAGAAAGCGGTACGAGGAAGGTGCTTTAATCATTTACTCCTTTGATGATCTGGCGTGTGTGGCGGGCCGGTGAAAAACTAGTTTAAGGGAATTGCCACTACCCCTAGCCCTTCTATCCACTGCTAAGGCATCGCCGACTCTTGATGTGGCCATGTGGGAGTCCGTAGAACCAGGGGGAATGAATGTGTATGCAATGTTTTATGAATGGTGGTCACCACGTACTGTACTTATCAATCTTGTGATGCACCTCGTACTTTGTGTCGATATTTGTGGGGTGTCTTGGGATGATTGGTAATTGGCTAGGAATTGCTTGCAGAGGACGATGACTGATCAACTGTCTGATCGCCCGAATCGAAGTCTGATGGACCAATGGGCGAACTGGGTACGAGAAGAGGGTCGACAATTTCGAGGAGTGGATACATAGGGATCATCGGACCTGGGTTATGATCTGTTATGGAGGACATAGGCTCACTGAAAATGAGTGGCAAAGGGGGAAGGGAGGAGGTAGCCCTCGGATGTGTGTTGAGGGGAGACATGCCTGACCCTATTGTGTGAATGTATATAAACCAGGATTGTAAGTGCGTGGATCGAGGCGGATGGGGGAATGAGTGAGAGGTTTACCATAATAGGATGTCTTTAGTAGGACAGGATATGATACTTATGTGCAATCTGGGAGGGTGTAGGTGGGTGAATGGGAGCGGATGTTAAGAATGGGGTGAACACGTGTGTAAACGGCGAAGGCGCTGGGAATAGGGTAGCTGAGGCAGGTGTGCATGGATAATAACCAGTAGGGTCGATGCGTTGTGTGATTACTATGAGTAAGATTATGTTTCACAAGAAAAAGCTAAGGGGTAATAGGAGATGAGCATGTGGATTATAATGGGTGAGCAGCTGAAGAGCTTATTAGGAAATGGCGATATGTGTGCCATGGGGAATGGATGATAGATGAGGGCGTCATATGCAGGATGAGTGTATGAATAGGGAGGAAGGACCATTATACAGATCAATGAGAGTAATGAGTTGGCATTTTCGCTCAGGAATGGTGGGTGTTATATCGGGAATGCTCTTTGGTATGGTGAATAAGTTCATTCGTGTTCATATGACTTGTGCACGTGTACACTTTCATTTGTAGTGCGTGGCATGATGGTGTGTGTGTGATTTTGTGTCAGTCGAGCTGTTGCTAGTCCTCATCTCGTTCATGTGTATATATATATATATATTATATATATATATATATATATTATATATATATATATATAGAAAAGAGGAAAACATTGGGGTATTAAACCTTGAGTGTCTTGGGAATAGTCTGCGGATCATCGTCGTCAGGGCACTAGGTTTCGATATTGTCATTTGTTGCAATTCCTGTAAGTCATGCGATGGTGTGGAGTGCACTCGTTGTGTACTGGAGCTATATCTAAGTGTGTTTACACACACAGCATCACACACACCCAGCGAGGGAAGTGCTCCCAATGGACATCTTCTTAGGGCTGATACCCCTGACCAGACTATTCGCTCGACTGTTGTGGAGTATGTTGCGACTAAATAATGGCAGAATAGTATCATGCCTAATGGTCCTAAAAGATAATAGTATGCATATGTTATTGTTGTTTGATGCTTACTATGTTTTGCTCCTTGCTGTTTCAGGACTATGTGTCTCCGCAGATCTTGTGGATTCCAAACCTGGTCAGGGATGACAAAGCTTGGCTTGCGCGTTTTCACCCACCACCCCGTCCCACACAGGCACTGATAGCATTCGCACAAAAACAGGTAATTACTGCCGTTAGGGAGAAGTCAGAAACCCCTGAGGAGGACTGTTACCCCCTAATCGAGTATCTATCATTCAACGACTGGGCGGAGCTTATATATATTTACAGGATGAGAAGAGCAGAATTTGGGGCCACAATTTTGAGGATGGCCAGAGCCACGAGCGTAGTAAGGGAGGAAAGCATGAAGGAGGATAGGGAAATCCTCAATACCACGATAGATGCTGAGGTGGTTTTTGTCAGACTATGGGGCGCTGATTCCCGATTTCACAAAACGTTGGGCATGACTTAGGTGACTGTGTATGAGGAACCGTCTGGGGTGGATGAAGAGGATGAGCTGACGGAGGAGGAGAGGCTTTATGTGGAGAGGAAGGTGGTGGAGGCGGCCAGGGTCAAGGAGAAACAAAGGGCTGTCAAGAAGAAGAAGGCAGCGGGAGAATCTAGGAACGCTTTTCTCTCGTATGCGTCATTTAGGTGGGTTGAGGGGATGTCGACGACTTTCGCGGGAAAGATCTGGATGTTGGAAACGTATAATCACCTAGCCCCCCTAGACAATAGAGCATATAGACTGTTGGGGGCCCTGACCCAGGAGAAGATGAAGGACTGTGTGGAGAGGGCTAGGGAGATGGATGTTGCACCTCCAGGGGTTGCATTCCCCTTCAATGGGGAGGGGGTATATATCCCCCTTATGAACGTCATGGACTCCTCGAAGTGTCCCTCGCGCAACCCACCACTCTTGATTAGGTCCTCTAAGCCACCACAGAATCCCAATGCGCTTTCGGAATTGAAGCGCATATGGAACTACGGTAGACCTTATATTAAGTGCAGATGCACTGCGGACGGCAGGGAGGACTGTGGGAATGGCCCGGCCTGGTTTGATCACCTCTTGTGGTACCTTTTGTACAATCTGGAAATAATGTATCCGGATGCCCCCACCCCGAAAGCCAGAGTGTTGTCATTGATGCGATGCCTAGCGGGCTCGTGGAAGCCACTGATTCTAGCGTCAGTATCGTTTTCATGCATCAGGGAGGTCATGATGCTTCTCTCGAAGAGGGTAATTTCCAACCCAATGTTGACAACCGATTCTATCCTGACAGGAGTCAGTAGGTCGGACAGGAATGCATTCAAGAAGTGCGCAAAGGCTCTCCTCCCCACCGGGTATGTAAGAAAGAGGTGCAACACCTCCGTCCCTGGTAATCCGTCCTCCTCCGCTGCCAAGAGGCAGAGGAGAGAGGGACAAAGTTCGATGGATTCCTTTGTGGCATCCGCAGAGTCCACACCGCCCCCTCCCATTCTACGACAAGACCAGGCAATTGGGACACCTCCGGAATCCACGATCACCAATATTGGCGGGAGGAGAGTGGGTTTGCCGATGGATCCAGACAGTAAATCAAGGAGGAACTTGCAGTCGACCACTCTAAGAGATTGTTGACGACTCAACCGCGGATCGTTGTATGATGTGTAGGTATGCCTTGGGTCTATCGAGGAGGGGCCTTCGGGGAGGTGGAAATGGAAAAAGAGAGCAAACAACGGTAACCGGAGGAAAGAGTGTGTACATATCCGATACATGGGCAGAATGATGGACAGAGTCAATCTCCGATCGATTATTGAGTCTGTCCTTTTGAAATTCGGAATCCTTGCGGTCCTAACGATTTTCTCGCTAATCGTGTTCGGATGGACGTATGACGATAGCATATGCAAAACGGTATACAAACCAGGGTCTGTCTTCAGATGGTTTGATCTAGACGGGTGGTATTCCTCCTTAACCGTTGCAGGGCGATGCCCATGCGACACGAGCGAATATCGACCCTACCACATGGACGAAACCCTCCACATGACTCAACCTGCTGATGTTCCTTCAACACACGTTCTCACGATGAACCCAGAGATTACGAGGAATCCCACGTTGCGGCAGTGCCTTAAATTAGGCCTAAACCATATTCCTCCGAAACGGCGCACGAAGGGGCAGGTAATCGACGAATTGATGAATGGATGGCGGGGTGCGGTATGAATCTTATTGAGGTACGTATATATCCCGAATGGCCTTATATATCAAATGGGCACAGAGGTGAGAGAAAGGATTGTGAGTGAGTTGAACAAAGGTATGATTCGATGTAACACGCCAACTGAGGACTTTTAGGTAAAATCAGATGTCAGGTATCTAACAAAAACTATCTATGTCGCGGGAACTGATAAAGCAACAAACACCCCGTTCTTTGTATGCAAGCACCTGATTCGGTGTCTCGCGTTAGATAGATTGTCTGGCCCTGATTTTGAGATCCCCGGCTTAACGATTAAGGATGTGATTGAAAAATTTTGCTCCTCATAAAATGAAAGATTTCCTTGGATCAGATTGCACTCGAAAAGGCTTCCATACATAATGGCGATATATAAGCAGCAAGAAATCATTCAGGTGGCTAACGAATATGGCCGATACCTTACTAACAACCCGGACTCAAATAAGTGATAAAGTCCTTAAGACCCTGATGGTGCTGGTGATGGCGCACTGCAGAGAAATGAGGCATGCTGTAGAAAAAAATATATATATATCGATTGATTGATTGTTTTCGTTATCGACTGATTGATTGATTGATTGATTGATTGTTTGTTTGTTTGATTGATTGATTGATTTATTGATTGGTTGATTGATTGATTGATTGATTGATTGTTGATTGATTGATTGGTGGGGGAGGGGTCCTCCCTCCCCTCCTCCCGGCACACGCGTGCGCACACCCACACACACACACACACACACACACACACACACAC